AGTGGTGGGGATGGGGATCAGATTTAGCAGGCAGGCATGGAGATGAGACCTATCTGCCCTGATCCACGAGCTTTGTTATTTAGGTCGAGTTGTGAGAGACTTTGCTTTTAGCTCTGAAGGCTAGCAGCTCTCATCCACGTAAACTGACTCTGAAGCCAGTTCCAGCAATAACATCGCACCAAGATGTCAGCCACCTCCATTCTGTCCTCACCTGCCAGAAATGTTTGGTTCTTTGCAGCTTATTTGATAGCATCTTAAGCGAGTGGTGTTGACCAAGCAGAGCAGCTGTAAGACAGAGCTCCCCTGCCTGGTCCTGCCTGGTGTGAACTTGTCTTCACTTTCCAGGGGCACAAGAGGCCCTGGAAGTGGTGGACATAGAGTAGCTGGCCATGGAAGTGGAAATAGAATAGTTGCATGCTACTAATGGGGAGGATAAAGCAGAAGGGCTACACTAATACCTCTCTTTGCCCCCTTTCATGATAAAACTGTTTCTGTGTATGAGGAAGCAAAAACCTTCCCCATAACCAGCTTTTGTCCTTTGAAGTGGTGCTGGCCTTTTCCAGTGGATTCCTGCCCCTGAGGAGGCTGACTCATGCTTCTTGTTGGTTCACGCTTCACCTAGCACCAGGCAAAACCAGCCTGGTTGAGGAAGGAACTGACCTGAACATCACTGTTCAAACCCTACAGTGAACCTAAGCCTCTTAAAGTCTTTTTTTTTTTTTTTTTAATTTAGAAAAGTTTCTACCCTTCCTGGTATTAGCACAGATGAGAGTTTTGCACTCCATGAATACAAGATTTTGTATCTGCGCAGGATTTGACTTATGGAATCGTTTGATTAAAAATCTACACTAAAAAATTAAAGGAATGAGCTATCTGATTATAGAAGTCATATTCCTATTATGTCTAAATTGGCCACAGTCCTAAAGAAGCTGGAAAGCCCAAAGAAATAACTGATCTTGTCTGTGTTTCACAGTCTCTCCCCAGTTTAATGACTAAGGAGAAGGGGAAGGACAGCATTTCCCAGAAAAGTGGGGACCAGAGCTAACAGGGAGGTTTCCAACAGAGAAAGGAGCCCCAGGAGTAGAAGAAGTTGAGAATCCCTGTTTTGAATCAGAGGGGTTTGCATGAGAGTCTGTAAAGTGTAGCTGACTTTTGGAGGGCTTTATCCAACCAAATTGCCTGAGCTCAGGGAATCTGTGGATCCTCTGGGTTAACTTTTTTACAGGAGAGGTTGGGATAGCGGGATAAGCACGAAGCCAGCTGTGTTTTACAGCTGGCCAGCTGCCGCTTTCCTGTGATGCTAGGAGGCAGTGGTTTAGGTATTCTGTCAAGTTCATGTTCAGCAATAGTACAGTTCCTTCTGATAGGCACTTTCTTACGGCTGAGCAGAAGCATGCAGGAGAGGCCATGGCCACCAATCAGTACAGCTTTGTCATCCAGCGGCAGAGAAAAAAAATGCAGTCAATCAAGTTGTTGTTGTTTTTAACACAGTACAATAGTTCAGTCTGTTATAAGCAAATGTAAATCAGAGGAGCATACTGCTAAAGCAAATGAATGCAGAACACAGAAAGCAGTGAGCCATGTTTTCTCTCAAAGTTGGGCCTTGACTTCTGAGCAGGATTGACTCACACTGAACGGCTGATATGGCTGTCGCTCCTACACAAACAGCCTGTGCTGTGGCCACTGCAGGGGAGCCAAGCTGCCCAGGAGGCACCTGCTGGGTCCCATGGGCCAACCAGCTCTCCTAGTATACGACCCAGTGTTTTTATATAAGCTGATTTTGGTTTTGATTTGCTTCAGAAGGTTGTATTGTAAACAGCTCTGTTTGAGAGTCGTTTCTCAAGCAAAAAAGTTATCCAAGCAGTGCAATGGGGAGCATAACCAAGGGCAGTCCCTTTTACTTTTCACAGCTGGCAGATATGATAAAGGATGAATAGGAGCCCTTTACCCTTCAAGAGCGGTAGCTGGAGATATCCAGAGCATCTCATGCGTCCCTGTAGACCTCTGCGTGGGCAACTGAAACCCACTACTTCCTCATACAGGCAGTGGAGCCTAGGGACCTGCTCAGCTATGCGTAAAGTAGACGTCTGGGTCATCATCTGAATCACTCCCTACTTTCTACTGACTACACTAACTAGGTCTCCCTTGTTTTTAATGGCGCTTAAAGTCTGGAGCTCCTTACCTTGAGACACCTATGTGTAGGTGTCTTAATTTAGAGCTGATTGTCATCCTGAAATGGAAGGGCTCCCTTCACTAGGTCGCCAGGGGCCCAGGGTACCTGGCCTGACCTCCAGTCACTGCTCCAGGACAGCATGGGTCTCCTGCAGGTCCTATGTTGTCCCTGTCACCTCTTGTGCAACTGCGGGAATAAAGCAGTACTGAGGCCAGGTTGAGCTCATTGCCGAATCCTTTCCACCTGTTCAAACGTCTGTAAAATAGTCCCATACCAGGACAATGGTGTCCTATCCATGCTTCGCTGGATGCCACACTTTCCTTGTCCTCCAGCACGAGCATGGATACACTGGGAGTGGGAGTTCATCCCTCCTGACTCTTAATAACTATAGCTGAGCTGGTCTATCCTCTTCGTAGTCAGCAGAGAGGCACAGACATTTTATGGTGTGGTTTACCTCCAATATCTAAGTCTCCACTGACTATAAGAGCAATCCAGGTGCCTAGCTCAGATGTAGATGTCTACACTTGATCAGATAAATCCCACCTCGATGAGCCAGGTCCTTGGGCTGCAGTGCTAATTGGGAATCATAAGTGTCTACATCAAACTGGTTTGGCAAGAAAGTCCAAAGCAAACACTTTCAGTCTCAGTTCACTTACCATTGTATCCAGTTATGTAGTTATTTATAGTTATTCTGTTTTTCTGTTCTTACTTTCCCTTCCAGCTCAGGGGACAGGATGACAGACGGTGACTCAAATCTTCCAATTATCGAGAGAAAGCTGGGACTCCAGATATGGGGCATAGAGGTACAATAAGAGGAGAGTGACCTCATATGTCGTGTGTGTGTGTGAGTGTGTGTGCGTGCGCACGCGCGTGTGTGTGCCTGTTTCCAGAAAGAGATATGCTCAAAGTAGTCTGGGTGATCTTACAAAAAGATGATCTGACAAAAAGATGATCTTACCAAAAGATGATCTTACAGGAAAGATGCAGCCATGAGAAACGGAAGACCCAGTTTCTAGCTTTGCCCTCCTCCCTACACAACTTTCAACATGTTATTGCTTGATGGTTTGCTTCCCTTCCCTGTAAAATAGGGAGAGTAGTGACTAAGGAAATATTAATTTTAGTGAGACTGAATATGTTCTGGCACCGCACTCCTCCAGCACTGGAGGCTTTCTTACCCACTTTGGGAATTGCTGCATAGCTGTTTTAGCACATTTGAAGTTAATTACCTGTTGCATCAAGAAGGGGGGTTATGGGTTAGCAGCCTTTATCTATACTAGCAGTGGGGCAGCTGCCATGAGGAAGGCACACAATTTTCAAGGAAGGATTTCCAACAGTGTCTATATGCCTCTCACCCCCAGCTTTCCCACTCCGACGGTGGGTCGCTGCAGGGAGAGATACTGCAGCATGAGAGATCCCCTGCTACTTGGGGTGATCTTTGCTTGTGATTTGGAACAGGGCCATACTCAGTCCTGCCTCTTCTTTCTGGCTGGTTTTGCAGACGAGGTTCCTCCCCTGCAACAAGGGGGCTACATTGACTAAAGCCCAGAACCAGTCCAGGGGAGCAGCGAGAAGGTCTCCAACATGTGTCCCAAAATGGTGGTGATCTTCTACAGGTTCTAGTTATGTTCCAAACAGTCCAGGGTCTTTGCTTTTGCCTTTGTCTCCCAAATGCTGTATTAAGCTGCTTTCTAGCACATCTGTAATTAGAGAACCATAGACTCACAAAGGCCGGGCTCATATGCCAGGAAACAAGTCAGACCACCAGAAAAATGTGTGTATCTATTGCAGGGACCCACAGAGACAGATCAGGCCTAAGAGCTGTGTGTGTGTTGGTGTGTGGCACACCCAGGCACGCTGGGTAGGCATGGCTGGTTAACTGTGATGTGCACCAAGTGCAGTGTGCAATTGTGGTTTGGAAGGGTGAGAGACACACCAGTGTCCTCAAGCCTGTCTTTTCTCTGCACTGTTAATTGCTATATATCCCTAACAATGTAGTTATAGCTCGTTAAGGCTGCTGAAAGGGGTCCTTGAACTGACAGGTACTGAGTAAACACCATGTCCCAAAACTAAGCCTGGGATGAGACATGCTCACTCCCCTAGACATTCCTGCACAAACCCAAGCACTGGGGCACTTCAGCCTGGCCTGCTGGTCTTCAAGTGCTAAATCTACAGGATTGCAGAGGGGCAAGGAGGGTGAAAAATCCTTGTCAATCTGGGCATAACAGCACTCTCATTTGCCCCTTCTCAACCCTTAGCACTTTCAGAACTTCCCCCAGGAGAAGTGCCTTTTCCCAGCCCACAAGCACAGCCCTGGCAGTACCACCGAAAATCTAGACGAGCAAAGGCAAACAGCTTTTGTATCTGTCATCCAATGCGCTGGAAAAAACAAACAAACAAACAAACAAAAAAACCACACAGCTCTGGTAGTGACAGCACCAGCCTGGCTCCCAGTTGGTGCCATTGCTGTTCTGAGCAGTCATCCTGGTCACCCCCTAATACTCCTTGCCAGAGTGTTGCAGCAATGCACTTAATCTTCATTCACTTTGGTCTAAGGAGTCCCAGCCAGTACAGGTCTGTGTGGTTTCTCTGTATGATTTATTCCACAGATACTAATGAGTGACCTTATCTGGGCTCCTCCTCATTTCCACACTCAGCCCTTCCTGTCTGAACTCTTCCAATTACTCCTAGTTATACACAAAAGTGGAAATGGGATGTTAGGAGTTTTCTTAGGATAACATGTTGCAAAGCTGACATAGAGGTGTTTGAGGTGCCAGTATAGCATTTCGATGTATGGCTGCCAAGCTAAACCATGATTCACCCCACTCTAAATAAATAATCTGCAAAAAACTGTCAACAAATATGACGAGGCAAAGCAGTATTTGCATCCTCAAACCCTACTGTAGCCCTAATAGCAATTAAGTGTGATTATCAGCTCCTTAAGACACACAAGCTTTCTGCCCCAGGAAACTCCCTGATACTGGCTGGGTGCCATGAAGCTTGTAATCCTCACTTGAGCTCCTTGGTCCTTCCTTCTCCAATCTTAATGATCACCCTAGTGTTTCATGCATCCCAGCTGCCCTGTTTCACACTTATCAGCTAGCTCTTGGAGTTCTAGCAATGACCCAAAAACTCATTTTCTTACAGAACATGAAGATGGTTCCTGTTCCTGAAAAGGCTTATGGAACTTTTTTTGAAGGGGACTGTTACATAATTCTACACGTAAGTAAGGCAAGCAAACATCAATCTGTTTGGCAGGCAAACAGGTTCTTTAGCTCCAGCTTGATCCCCAGGTACTCTCACAAGTGAGAGAGCACTGTAGGATAAAAATGGTTGTGTTTCTGTCTTCACTATCATCTAATCATGCACCTGAATTTAACATTGCCTGTTGCAACAATATTGTGTGTTTAGCATAATCAGAAGGCCAGAGCAGCCTTTAAGTCAGCAATTTATTAAAATGATTTATTTCCTAATCAACTGAATCAGGCACAGAGATGGAAAAATGGCCGGTATATTCCTGGCAAACTAAAGCAAGGCCTAAATTTTTATGACTCATGAGAGTATTTTGGGGGTATGAGAGGTGGCCAGCTAGAGGGCCTTGTTTTAAGGGGATGATGTGGGTTATGGAGGTGTGCCTCTTAATGACACATGAGCAGCAGAGAGGATCAGTAGCCCTTTTCCCTCTCCCCGTTAGGAGACCTCTTATATCCCGCCCAAATTTCTCCAGATCTACTTATAACCAGCCCCCTACAGTCTGGGCTGTACAAAGTGCCTTGCATTCCTAAAGCTCTCTGGGAGGATGATGTGTCACACTGAGCTCCCGGACCTCCTTCCAAATCTCTTTATCTGCACAGAGCAATGCAGACCCCATTGCATCAAGCGATGTCCACACTGTGGAAATCAGAAACATTTCCCACTTCTTGGGTCAGAGCATCCCTTCTGCAAACATTCCCAGAAGTCAAGTGTCAGCAAAGCCTCCACTGTCCCACATAACCAAATACGCATAAGCACACACCTGTAATGTAACAGAGGCAAGGTCTAGGTCATGCAGTACTTAAATCATATGAAGCAACCTGGGTTTCCAATATCCCACAAAGTATCTAACCATTGAATAGATCAGGAAGTAGGATATTAAGCAAGGATGCGTGTGAACTACATTCTTGTTCTTCATGTGAAACAGGAGACTTGAATGTAGAGCTCCTCCAGGCCCTAAGTTCGTGCCCAAATTATTTGGTAGGGTACCTACTTTGAATCCTCAAAAACGTTTGCAGGATAGAGAAATGGTTGTCCGCATGCCTCTAGGGATAGATTCAGCTATAAACACAAGAGTTTTGTGCTATTTCAGAGGCCCGGGAATATCCAAGATGTCCACACAGGGCCAGCAGCTGTGACACAAGAGACCTGCACCATTCTGGGGTAGCACCTGAAGCCCGGTCTGGGTGACCCAAAACACCTCAAATCGCCCTAGGATCCTGGCTGAGGCAACTGAATTGGCCCCCTGATGTTTAGCTGTGCCACAGACCACAGTTCTTGGAAGATTTCATGCAGAATCCCCTTTTCTTAATGCTACGGACTTGATTCAATTTCCTGCACTTGCTGAAGGGTGTCCCACCTGGCCTCCAAACACAGATGAAAACAGAAAACCTGCCAGTCTTGTGTCATCTCCACCATCCCCATGTGGGTATTCAGATGATCTAAGTTGTCTCTGACAGCTACCGAGCTGGGTCTTAGATGTCCCTTTACTCTTATGGGAGCTTAGATCTTTCTCACATGCAGACACCTAAATTTAGGGACAGAGTTCAGGTACCTAAATACACGCTTATGAGTATCTCATCCACCTTGCAGCTTTTGCTTCGGAGGAGCACACATGCCCTGCAAGCCCTAAGTCACACCTGCCCAGTGCAGAAGCCTCAGATAGCCTTGAAAGTCTTACAAAGCTCATAAATACCGGTATATAGTCAAATGAATCCTCCTGTATGTGTCTTCTTCTGCAAGCCGAATCCACTGTGTGTCAAGTGGGGAAAGCAGGCTGGGATAGCTATGCAGAATGTCTCTCGTGCGCTAATTCACCGTGCAGATGCCTTTATGTTACCCCCAGGTAACATATAGCCCAGGTAGAAAAGTCCTTAATCACACCACATCTCTCCTCACATAAAAGAGGGTAAAAATACTCTTCTTTCTGCCTCTTGACTGGAGGCTCTCCAAACAAAGATTGTCTGCAGGATAAGAGGACTTTGATCGTCTTTAATGACAGTCAATTAAATAGAGTCATTTTGCCACAAATTAATCAGTTGTGCCCACGGAAACTGAGTTCTATTTTATTTAAGTTTGAGTATTTTTCACTGTGGTGCAACTACATAAAGCAAAGAAACAGAATATAGTGTCAAATCCAGTTTATAAAATGAGTTTTTATTATCTTTTGCAGGCATGGATAAACGGGTTTAACACAGCAGGTGACGAAAAATAGCTGGCACAACTCACATAGCAATAAGCACACCTGTTCTCAGACCGCTTGCCTCTTCTTTCTAGGCTATTGGGTTTTTCTGTAACAAGATGAATCACAGCATGCCCACATAGGTTCAGCTTTATTTGCAGTTATATCTGTTTTACAAGTCAGCAGGAACTCAGAGGCAGTTTCTCTTCCTTAATAGTATGATATAAGAGAGAGAAAGGGCAAGAAAGGAGAGTACCTCCAAGGAAATAAATACAAGCGTATATTACATTCAAAAAAGTGATCTGTGAGAAGAACATCCTTTAAGTTTTGATATCAAACTCTACAAAAGTAGGACAGATTGAATGTATGAAATTTTGAAGTTGCACAGGTGCTCCATTTCCACGATAAGAAGAGTCATAAACGTACGTAAGACAGAAACATAGTTCAGTGCAGAGTGTACGCAGGCCCCATAGGTGCTCTCCCAAACTGGGGCCCTGGGAGCTGAGCTAACGTTCCGCTCTAGCTTGCCTGAGGGTCACTAGGCTGCTCAGGCTTTGGTCAGCTTTGAACCCCCTTGTGCTAAAACAGTTTTTCGTGTCCCTAATGCCCCTCCCTTGAAAACAGTGACATAATGGTCGGGGTGATGGTGATGGAGGCCAAGAGACGGGCGACCAGACCACAGGGTGAGCTCTGAGGGAGTGTCGTAGGGCTCAGTCCTGCTTCCCATTGCCCAGGAGAAAGGCAGAAGAGGAAAAGGCCCTGGGCAAGGGCCCCATGATCGCTTGTTCGTACTAGGTCTCCTCGGCCAGCAGTGTTCTTTGCCAAACCTCTATGGGCTTCATCTTCCCAGAGAGGGAAAAATGCATCCTGAATCTTGTCTTTCACACCTCTTCCAGAACAAAAGGACCTCTCGTGGCTCAGCTACAGACTTGCATTACTGGATTGGCAAGGATTCATCCCAGGATGAGCAAGGTGCTGCTGCCCTGTACGTCATCCAGATGGACGATGCACTTGGGGGGGACCCCGTGCAGCACCGCGAAGTGCAGGGACATGAATCTGAGACCTTCCAAAGCTACTTCCGGAACGGCATTGTGTGAGTAGCGTAAAATACCCCACAACAATGCAAGTCTCAGTCCCTGGGGTTCCTTCAGCTTCTCTCTATCCAAGAGGCATCAGCATTTCAAAAACCTGAAAAACATGGACCAGTTCTGAATCTGGTCAAAATGCAAAAGAAAAATTTCCTATTTAAAAAAATTTAGTTTTAAGTGTTAAGATTGGAACCACGTTGTTTTGTTCTACTGATCGTTTTCCAAGATGTTTGCTGTAAATGCATCTTAGCCTCCCTTTTGTTCACTCTAGGGTCATCTTTCCTCTCTCCTCCATATGCTTTAGATTAGTATGCCCATTCAGGACACTTTAGACTAATATCCACTTTGCAGAGAAGTGAAGATTTGGCTCACACTGAGAGTAATTTTCCTGCATTGAAAGCAAAGTTTGGCTCACTGAACTTCTGACATCTAAAAGATAGTGTCTTGTCCAGCCACGTGGTCTTGGCCCCCTTCAGGGTCTTTGGAAGGTGACTCCAATAGCTTCCCTCCAGGAGAATCTGTCTGTCTCCACCAGCAATAAACAGAGCCTAAGTGCCTCACTTTTAAATAGCTGAAGAAAACTGAGAGGAAAGCCCATCCTTAGTCTGTATCCTATATTCTAGTCTGGCTTTTGGTACGGCTGTATTGTGCATCCCTACATCTCATAAGTTTCTTCAGGACCTTTGTGAGACAGTAAAGTGCTTTTATCGTCATCTTAATGAGAAGTAAGGGGCAAAGAAGTGCTAAAATTCAAACTATCAAGAGCATGTAGGTTTAGAGGTCTGTTTAGAAACCTCTGCCCTGAAATCAATAGCCTTTTGTGCTGCCTACGTCAACAATTTTCTACCTCAGCTAAGTTTGAATAGAACAACCATTTTCAGCAAAACCAAATTTTAGCAAAAAAATCTTTATTTTCTGCAAAACATGTTTCTTGAATCTCTAAGGAATATTTCATTTCTGAGGTAACACTGCCTTGCTTGATGAGATTTTCAGTTTGGTTATATCATGTTTCCATTGCCCTCCCTGACTCACCTGTTCAGCTACACACCTTCTCCCAAGATGCACGACAGCAACACAACACCCATAACCAGTGGAAGGACACCACGAAGAATCATTGTACGAACAGAAACCGTGAACGGTAGAGTCAGGCAACAAAGCAGCATCTGACGTTCCATTTTTGGGAGTCTAAGATGATATTCTCCTTAGATTTTTACTTGTCACCAAAAGCTTGAATTTTTTTCAGAGGATAGAGGGTCAACTATTTTCTAACCAGCATGAACTCTTTGTTCCCTGCTTCACAACAGCTACAAGAAGGGAGGAGTAGCTTCAGGATTCAAACATGTGGAGACCAATATGTACAACATCAAGCGTCTTCTTCATGTCAAGGGGAAAAAGCACATATCAGCCACAGAGGTAAGCACAGGACACCTCTCTACTTATGGACCATTTCTTCTTGCCTCTCCTCCTACACCTATTTTCCACCATGTTTGCTTGCTAGATAGCTCATCTCTGCTTGAGCACCCCCACCACAGGACAGTTTTCAAGAACTTGCTGTGGGGTTTGGTATTATCTTATTGCTGTTCTCAGAAAATAGGTTAGAAAACTGGAAGTTTTGGAGAAAGAGTAGGGAACACCTTCAGTTCACAAAGGCCTACCCTGTCTCCCCCCTGCATTAATAAGAGTAGAGTTATTCACATCCATTCAAAGGGAAAATAGATCTTACAATCCCAGTGTCATTGCTGAATCTAGCTAGAAAAATGAACATATCATTGCATACCAGATCTTACATTCCTGGGAGCAAGTTCCCTATGACTTGACTTGTGGCTCTTGTTACCCCCTCCAACCCAAACTGTTTCATGTCCTTGTGACAGGTAGAGCTTTCCTGGAACAGTTTTAATAAGGGTGATGTTTTCTTGCTGGACCTCGGGAAAGTGCTGATTCAGTGGAATGGACCCAATTGCAGCATTGCGGAGAAATCTAGGGTGAGTACAGGCACAAAAGCCCCTTCATTTATTAGATTACTTTTTGATGCCTGCAGTGAGACAAAGCACAAAGAAAAGAAAAAGAAACAGTGAAAGATGCTTGCAAAGCGAGGATCTCAGTAAAGCTAGAGACACGTGGACGAACAGAGAAAATCATGGTAGATCTACTTCTCCATCTGCTGATATCAGAAGCCAGGGAAGTGCTGTGCTCAAGCCTCAAATGGGGTGTCAGGGGTTGCCTTGGACACATCACTAACTCCAGCACCAGAAAAGCATCTACTTCCCTCTGAGGACGTACATTTCCAGCCCTCTGTGGCCTATAGTTTGAATAAGATAGGGTCTAAAAAGTCAGTAGCAACAGTTATTTTAACTGCAATAACTTCCCCAGGGGTAGAGGAATTTTTAGTTTTTACAGCATCACAGGTAATCCCAGCTCGGTCCATATGATAGGATAGTTTTTATCCAGAGCTCTCAGAGCACTTTAAAAAGGGTCATTATCCTTATTTTATTGACAGAGGAACTGAGATATAGAGATTTAATAAAGCAAGGTCTGCCAATGGGTCATAGGCTATTGAGCTCATAGCCTGTCACTACACGTGTTAAATGGCAGCTAGCGCTACTCTTCACATGGTGACCCCTGAAGAGCTGGGATGGTGGAGGTTCACAGGGAAGGTAATTTGCCAGGACACAAGGGAAGAGGTGAAGATCCAGGTGAGGGTGGAGAAGAGACAAAGAAACTACCAGTAACCAGAGGAAGGGGAGCAGGAAGAGGGAAGGTTGCTGTAAGGAACGGGCCATGGCTCACCTTAGGCCTGGCAATCAAGCAAATCAATTCCTAGGCCTAACAAAGCGGACCCCTTTCAAAGCTATTGTCATAAGACGGTGAAAAAATCACACGTCATCCATTTTTCTACGGAAAATTGAGATTTCAGCCTAATTAGTTATTTAGCATTTAACAGAGTTTTTTGTCGTGGAAAATTTCCATGTTTTTTGAAAACTTAAAACATTTAAATTTAAAATGTCATCATGGTGCATCCACGGTCCCATAGCTCTGCTTCCTCTGGCTTCTATTCTGCTTAGCATGCGTACGTCTCTCTTCCGGATCGTGTCTCACAAGGTTATTGGATTTGCTTACGTAAAGTCATGCACACGTAATGCTTGTTCTGACTACTGCATGTCTGTGCCCTACAAGAACAAACAACAGTAGTGACTCCACTAAGGAATGTTTTCCTGGGAATTAGTTAATAAGCAGGTTTAATGGACACATCCTCATTTTTAAACAGCTAAATTTGCGAGACAATGGCAGCTTCAGAGAACTGTAGTAATCTAGCTTAGACTATTAGTTCTCAGTCATTACTATAGCTCTGAGGCAATGCTTGCTGAATTCATTGTCTGGATCTGGATTTGTCCCCTTGTGATCCTCACATAGGGCCTCGCATTGGCTCGTAGCATCAGGGACAGCGAAAGGGGTGGCCGTGCTCAAATAGGCATTATTGACAATGAGAAGGACTCTCCAGACCTCATGCAAATCATGAAGATGGTGCTGGGTGAGAGGCGTGGAGAGCTCCAAGACGCCATCCCAGACACAAAAGCAGATGAGCTGCAGAAGGCAAATGTCCGGCTTTACCAGTAAGTCTCAGGCTGAGCCTCCGAACCCCAGCCCTTCTCACAGAGAGCTCTGCACAGCCTGACTCTTCTCGATGACTCTTTCTTTCAGTGTCTACGAGAAGGACAATGACCTGGTGGTACAGGAAATAGCTACTCGGCCCCTGACACAGGACCTGCTCCAGCATGAGGTGAGAGAAAGATCTCGGTCCTTATAGAGAGAAACGCCGCTGTGGCCTCCTTTGTTTTCAGCTGAGCACCTGTTTCTATGAAATACTCTGTTTGCAGAAAATTATCAGCCCTTTCATCCTTTAAATTGTCAGGTGTCCTCTAAAAATAGGGTGCTTTAGCCTCCACCTACCTTCTTGGTGGCCAGAGACCGGGAGTGGATTGAAAATGCTTTAATAAAAGGTGGCAAACAAGCCCTCTCAGCTGAGGAATATGTTAGCTGGGCAATCATTATAAAAGGAGAGTCAAGGCGAGGTGGGTTGAAACAAGCCAGGACTAAATTCCAGATGGAAATCAGGCTTCTTAACACTTGCACAGTGATATTTTGGGACAGCCCTCCATTTGCAGAAATGAGAGCAAGCAGCCATCCCGCTTGTAAAATTATGAAGATTAGATATGTATTCCTGTTGTAGCAAGTGACTAGACTCAGTGACCCTCCTGGAAGGAGGTTTCTTACAGAACCTCTGTTTAAAGGCACGGAGAAAACAGAGGCCTTCCTAATACCCTTCCAGCTAAAAGTTGGCAAAGAAATGCTCATCCATGATTGTCTGCTACACAAAGTGGCCCACGTGGGATTGTGCTGCAGGCAAGTCATCTGGCTCCAGCTCCTTTATTCGTCTTACAGCCCTTACGCATGCTCCATTCAGTCCCTGGTGTCAGCACTTTTAAATCCTGCTGGTTTGGGAGCAGCTCTCATGAGGTTGTAATGGCCAATTTGGAGCAGTGCCTAGGAAAAACATATATTTTATTTCTTCAGAGTTAAAGGTCAGCTGTTGGGATCAGAGGCACTCACAAGGTTCGTGCACCCAAGAACTCAGGGACTGTACAGTTGATGCAGTCATAGCCCATTCAGGGACCACAGAAAATCCATTATCTCTTGCTTCAGCCAATGATTACACCAGGTTACACAGGGCTAGCAGCTCTGCAAGGCAAGGAAATAAGCTAGATCTATATCTCCAAGTAGGGGTCAACCTAGATATGCTACAAGTATATTTCCCTTTCCCTTTCCCTGAAAAAAAGGTTTTACATCTGGATTTTTTTTTTTCTGTTTTACATTAGGACTGTCACATTTTAGACCAAGGTGGCTTTAAAATCTATGTTTGGAGAGGAAAATTATCCAGCAAGGAAGAGAAGAAAGCAGCCTTCAGCCGAGCTTTGGTGAGCTGTAATATAGAGCAAACAATGTCGTGGGAGGGTAACTAAGCACTAATCTAGATCTGACCATTCATTATAATTAAGTGTGGGTCTTTAGGAACTGGCCTGTGTAATAATAGGACTTACACTTTTAAGGGAGATAGGATGACGTAAATGCAAAATTGTTGTTCACCAGATTGCAATAGAACTGGGATCTGTCACTGAAACTAGGAGGAAATCAGTTAAAGAAAATGAAAGAAAAGAGAATACAAAAGAAAATAGTTTCTTACAGTAGACGGTCAACTTCTAGAATTTGTTCTTTGAGATGTGGTGGAGGCTGATGATATCAGCGGTTTCAAAAAGGAATTAGACAAATTCATGGTCAGCAGGTCCATAAACAGATATTAAAGGGGGTTGGATCTTCTGTTCCCTCTAAATAGACATGACCCAATAATGTGGATGCTGGGGAGAGTGAAGGGATCAGACTGCAGATAGTCAGCAGGTTCACACGTGCTCACTAGACAGCATCTCCTACAGCCACTGCCCAAGGCAGCATGGACTGCTCTGATCCAGAGAGGCATTTCTTATGTTTGTAATCAACACTGTGATACCTCGGGGAAGCCAATGGGGAATCTCATTGCTCTCTGGAAAAAAAAAAAAAGGCCTTATATGTAGGTGCTACAGACTAAATCTCAGGTCCATTGCAGTCAACAAGATAATGCCAGTAGGTCTGGGCTCAGGTTCTGTGTGTGAATATGAAGCTGACATGAGGTCTTCCACTGGGTAGAAATAGATCTGTTACGAACTCAGACTGGCCAACCTGAGGTAAAACCAGGGATCACGTTAAGGTGAAGTACATCAGCATAGCACACTGGCACTTATCCCGGCCCTTCCAATAAGGTATCATATAGTTTTTTTCTGGCCTAGCATGCTCCAACACGTTCTTTCAGACAAAATTAGCCTTGCGAGAGCCTGAGTGAGTAAGGCACTCGGTAGTTTTTTCACAAGTTGGCATGTTGAAGTGAAGACTACAAGGGAACTTGACTTTTAACTCTATTGACTATGTTTCTTTTGCCTATCTAATGACTTGTTTTAAGACCATAAATGGCCTCACCTTCAGTGAAATGTTACCTGGGGATACTCATCTTCAATACTGGTCACACTTATTGTTTCAGGGAAGAAAAGCTTAGACAAACTTAGCCTTCAGACCTATCTCACAGTCCTCTGTGCTCCTTTCAAAAGCTTAACTCAGATGCTTTTTAGTAGGCAATCAGCTTTGCAAATTCTGGCCTTGAGCTACAAATGTAGAATAAAAGATATCTCTTTCAGCATGGCAGGTGGGAGGGTTGGGAAGACCATCTGCTCTGCTTTTCCCCAGGGGTAGTGTGTGGCTGCGGTATTTACAGCACAAAATGAGTGTGAAGCGCACACTCAGGCTCCTTCCCTGAAAGGCGGCTGTCAGCACTGTACCTCTGGGTCGTTCTGGAGCCTGCTGAGATAAACACGAGAGCGCTTACTGAAAATTGAGCAATGACTTTGACACTGTGGCAGAACACAGATAATTTTCTTCCCTCTCAAACTGTATCAAGCACCTATGTTGAAGTAGTCTCTTAGCTCAGTAGCTGCCCTATTTGTGAGTGCTTGTCTCTTCAGAACGTATGTCACACTCTGGTACTTAACTGCCTCCATCCCTTTACTATCTTGACAAGTCTCATTTTTTAACAGGCAAAAGGGAGGACGCTCTCACTTTTTTAAAGAGGGACAAAAAGGTCAGAGCAAAGCAAAGAACTGAACTGTGCTCTCAGGTCATGGGCACATCCCATACACCCTTCCTTCCCCTCCACTCCTGGATCCCTCACCAGAAGCTATTTGCAGATCTGGGCGAGACAGAGGAGGGTGATTTTCATTAGATCTACGGGCTGAGATTCTCTTCAAGATGAAGATGCCATTTCGAGATTAGTTTTAGGAAGTGATCCAGGTCACCAGCCTCTGGGGCAAGGTTCAGTTGCCTAAATTCAGGTAAAAACATAAGCAGTCTAGTGGAAGCTTGTAGACACCACACCTCCATTTATAAGTCTACATGTGAGTGTCTTAATCTTCAGATGAATCTTGTCCTTGGTCATGCTGCTGGGAGATGTTTGCTCTTTGGACTGGCTCAGTTCCACCTCCTTCTTCTCATGTCTGTAAAAACTTCAGTGTGTCCCATCTAAAGTCCTTTTGCAACCCCGCTAGGGTTTCATCCAAGCCAAAGGCTATCCTCCTTCCACCAACATTGAAGTGATAAATGATGGAGCGGAGTCAGCCATGTTTAAACAGCTCTTCCAGAAGTGGACGGAAAAGGATGAAACGCAAGGGCTGGGCAAAGTCTACACTACCGGCAAAATTGGTGAGTATGTTTCAGAGCCATGAATTGCCCCAGATTTGGCTTTACTACCTGCTCACTTACGCTAAGTGACAGCTGAGGGAACATCATTCACATTAATTGTCTCCTGTCTTTAGCATCTTGAAAATGTAGCGCACGTTCCTCTCATGCCCCATATTTTCCACCTTATTCAGTAGATGCAAAGGAATCAGCAACTGAGCAACGTTCACAACTTCCAAGGCTTCTTATATGAACCGAGATGCTGCTTATTCCAAATGTAAATGTTGGCAGAAGATCGATCTCCCCTGAAAAAAATATATGCAAAAATTCACACTTACAGAGCTTTTTACAAAATTTTCTTTAGATACGGCTAACAATGAGCCTGATAAGGAAGAGATGAACAACATTCTGCTCTCATTTACACTGGCATCCGCCCAGGACCCTCCTGACGTCAATAGAATTATTCTGTACTTACACCGGTGTAAACAGTAGCTCAATTTATCATGCTACTGAAGTGAATATTGTAGTGTATTAACCCCAGAAGGAAAAAAGTACTGAAGAGGTAGACCTTACAGATGAATGAGAGGACAGTGATAGACTTGCTGAAAGTCTCCATCAATGATAACTTCATAGCCACAAATCTCTTTCCCATTTCTTTCTCTCTCCTTTCCATGCATACTCTCTCTCTCTCTCTCTCTCTCTTTATCATGGACTGCAGAAATGTAGCCTTTTTATTTATGAAAGGAACATTTTAAAGGGAGGGTTATAACTATAGGTCTGGAAAATAATCATGAATTTTGAGTCAGGAGGTAACTAACATTTTTACCAGCCAATCATCACAACTTCACTGGAATGTGCAATATGGCCAGTTGCCAACCCAGAGCACAGATCAACATCAGAGTATGTGCGCTCTTGTATGTTTTGAAAACAACATTTTCTTACTGGTGGCAAGACTGGCTTCATGCAACTGTAAGCCGTGTTTCTGTCAGGTATATAATAACTGTGTGTGTGCATGAGGGTGGTACACAGGGTTTGCATGTTTTACACGCTTTGCATGCATTTAACACCTTATGTTCATGCTTTGATTCTGGTGATGCATCCAGCCAAGGTGGAGCAGGTGAAGTTTGACACCACTCAGCTCCATGCCAGACCAGAGCTAGCTGCTGAGCAGAGAATGGTGGATGATGCCTCTGGGGATGTAGAGGTGAGAGATCTCCTTTCTCTGACAAACGATGCAATTCTCAGGGTGTTTCCAAACCCCTCTGCCATTTCACATGCAGCAGCTGTACGGACCTGTGAAAGTATGCCCGGCTTTTCCGCCTTTCCTCCCCAAGAAAGCACGGCTGCAGCCAAAATAAATTCCTTGTCAACTCTAACTAATGCAACACTTACTCAGGGGTATTTCACCTCCAAGCATTGGCCAGTGGAGCAAAGAAGTCACCGAGTTTACTCTAACCCTCTCCTGCCACACGCACAGGGCACAAGAATGACACATTCAACTCCCTTTCTGCATTGTCTCATACTTTGGTCCATGTCACCCACATTTATGTGGAGCAAAGACCCTCCTCTATTCTTGCAGCCTCCCATGGCTAGTTAAGAGAGGAGCCCTGGGGCTGTGAGGCACCAGGAGGCTGCATCTCCTTTAGGGTCACCAACTGTCAAAAGTCTTATTAATGGCCCACACGTCGTGGGAGTCATGGGAGAGATATGAGATTGCTGGCAAGCACTTAATCAAGTTGGGGAAACATAGGTTGGCATCCAAGAGGAAAGAGGAAGATTCATCTTCACACCTCAAGACCTGGTTCTGCTGGCAAAGGGGCTGTGCTCTGCCTGTACGTCCACTCCACTGCTGCTTATCAAGACATCTCTCTTGCTAGGTATGGAGGATTGAGGACTTGCACATGCAGCCAGTGGATCCCAAGAAATATGGGCAGTTCTATGGGGGTGATTGCTACCTGGTCCTGTACACCTACCTGAGATCAGGCAGGCCTCACTATATCCTCTACATGTGGCAGGTAGGTCAAGCCAAAACAGAAGTGACTGTGCTGTGTCTATTAGAAGACTAAAACTGGTGTTTATTAAAAGCCTAAAGCTAATGGAAGCAATTGCACACAAAAACCCAACTGACAGATCCCAAAGAACTCACATGCTCTTTGCTTATCCGCTGTCCACTTGCAAATATCCCAAGCCTCTGTCTTGTAAGCAACACGGACTCTCTAAGCCCAAGTTGCCATCAGACTGAGAGATGGGAATACTGAACAGAGAGCATGAAGGATTATGGGGTTTACAGGGCTGAAGAGAAGCCTTACAGGCTTTCAGATTTTTCTTTGAGTTCCTAGGTCCTGCATCATGTGCATATTTGAGTAGCTCTGCTTTCCATTTTTGAGTATATAAATCTCTGGATTACAGAGAAAAGCTTTGAAAATGAGGCTTAAAGGCTCCAAGACCAGAATGCAAGTTTAAAATCAAGTAGTTTGAGTTCTGATCTTGTGATATTGTAGGCAGGAATCTGGGTCATGATTCTAGCAAGCTTGGGATTGGCAAGAAGTTACACTTCATACCCTTTATACCCATTACCTCGTCATCTTATTTGTGGTGTTGCTTCCCCCACTAGGGTCGCCATGCCTCTGTGGATGAAATCACGGCCTGTGCCCTCAATGCTGTCGAGCTGGACAAAAAGCATGGGGATGAGGCTGTGCAGGTGCGCGTGACAATGGGCAAGGAGCCATCACACTTCCTGGCGATCTTCAAGGGCAAACTCATCATTTACGAGGTAACGTAGCTTTGTGTGCAAGGGCAATGGAAGGTGCAAACCCCAAGGATGGAGCAGCACCTACAGTGGACGTAGTCCGGAGTAAGGGGCTGATGTTAAGGAAAGGTGTCCGCTAGGCCTGTATGTGCTAGCATGGGGAAAGAATGGAACACCTCTAGCTCTCTTTTTGTGGTACTTACATAGCCACCGCTGCTGTGGCGTGTCTTCAAAATTCCCTTTTTCATGAAGTGAAGCAGCTCTGTGCACTTGCCCTTAATAATGGGTAACTAAGGCACAGAGAGCCCAAGGACTTCCCACAGTCACTGAGAAGTCTCTGATAGAGGGGGAACATCTCAGGAGTTGAACCTCAGCTCTCCGTACCGACTTCCCAAGTAGGCTGAACAAAGTAAACACCTAAGGGCGAACAGTCCTGGGCTGAGTTAGACTCAGCTATCTGTCTCTGAAGTCCAGCATTTACATGTGATGTTCTTTCAAATTCTATCCCAAAATATTCTGCAGAATTGCAATAAAAGAACTGTGTTGTAAATTACAGATAGCATGATCCTTCAGGGTCTGGCCTCCAGAGAAGGTCCCCCAAAACACCCTGCGAAAAGTTACACAAGTTGAATTGTCCCTGCCTGAATTTCATCTCTTTATCTTCTAATCCACTTAACTTACTGCTTTCGTTGCTGCCATCTGTTGTAGAGACATTATAAATGACTGGACAAGAGCGGGATTGCCCTCAGCACTCAGTGGTGGCCCAACCATATGGCTTCCACAACAGATGTTCAGCTAAGCTCACCACAGTTGAAAATCTGAGTCCAGCTGTCGTGTCCTTAGATGGCAAACGCATAGCAGATCCTAGGGTCTGTTTACATTGAACTCAAGTGCCTTGACAGGAGCTTGTCGAAACTAGGATAACTAGAATAACTAGGGAGAAATTGAAGAGTTATGACATGCAGGATTTATTCTGGCCTGGAACCAGAACATATTTGGATTTACTCACCTGCTGCAGTTGGGCTCTCTACAGGCCTGTGGTCCCTCACTGCAGCAGCATGAGGGGCTATGAGCTGAAAAGTCTTTCTCCTCTAATCAGTCACACTCCGAATTTGCATGCCATCCTCACCTCCCAGTGCTGTCCTTCCCTGTTTCCTCACAGGGCGGTACAAGTCGGGATCAGAAAAGCACGCCCGAGCCTGCAATCCGCCTCTTCCAGGTGAGGGGCACAGACGAGATGAACACCAAGGCCACGGAGGTGCCAGCCCGGGCCTCCTCTCTCAACTCTAACGATGTCTTCCTGCT